CGTGGCTGTGCCTCAGCGAGCCTGCAGATGTCAGTGTGAGGAGACACGTGGAACGTGAGGTCGTGGTGGATGGACCAAACGATGGCTGGCACCTGGAGAGGCAGCGGAGGATGGTTGGGGAACTGCCAGAGGGAGCAGGTTGCTCACCTTTCCCAAGAAGTTTCTTCCCTTCCCACCACACAGTGTGGCCTCAAAGGCTTAGCGGGCCAGCGGACCCGGCTTGAGAGGCCACAAGACCCCTGGGGGACTTAAACCCTGGCCACAGGCTGCTTACTGGCTTCCAGCTGGAGACACCTTTCCTCTCCAAAAACTGCAGATTGGGAGCATCGGTCACACTCTCAGCTGGCGTGGTGTCAGCGTTTCCGATGCCCTCACTCGTGGCGTCACCCTCTGCCATGAGATCACTTGTTGTGGTTTCAGCGTTGGTCATGGCAGTCTCAGGGTTTGCTGCGTCATCCATCGGTGCCTCAGCAGAGCTTGCTGTACCCTCAGTTGGCATCAGTGTGATGTCAGCCTGTGCCACGAGATCAGTGTTGGAGCCGGTTGTGTCACCAGCCAAAGCGGTGTCGGGCTTTGCTGTGCCGTCCATCGGTGCCACATCAGAGTGTGATGTTCCATCGATCGGCATCGGCGCCATGTCGGCCTTGGCCATGACATCAGTGGCTGCGGTGTCAGAGCCGGTTGTGTCTTCAGCCAAAGCGATGTCAGGCTTTGCTGGGCAATGAGTGGGTTCTGTGTCATCCTTTGTGGTGAGATCGGCCAGTGCGGTGTCAGGGTTGGCCGTGTCCTCGGTCACAGCGGTGCCAGAGGTTGCCATGCGATCGATCAGCGTGGTGCTGCCCTCAGGCTTCTCCTTGAGCTCAGCTGGCCTGGTGTCAGGCTCTGACACGAGCTCAGGTGCTGTGGTCCTGGGTGTTCTACGCCGAATGCGCATGATTTTCAGCAACCTCTGCAGGAGAAGAAAGGGCAGGGAAGAGAGGGAAGTCCGAGGGAGCGCTCCACCAGCAGTGCCAGGC